GAGGGAGAAAGAAACTGCAAGAAGAACTGGATGTCCGGCAGAGAAATTCACTGCCTGTGTAAACTTGCAAAAGGTCAAAACAATCTTTCACTTTCACAAAGCAAAGCCTTATTCTGGAAGCTGTCGTAATATTAGCATTTACTGGGAACTAGGCACCTAAGGGCACGTCTTATGAAGTTCTGGCAGATCCACTCAGTAGGGGCTATAAATTGTTTCCTGCTTAATGGATGTTTGGCAGCAGCTTTAGATGAAATGAATTTCACAGAGCTGGAAGGAGCCTGCTCCAATGCCAGTGCATGGCATGGTGAAGAATCCTTGGTGTGATGGAGCAAACCTGGTAAGGCCTAAGGTGGGTTTGGTCAGCACCCAGAAACCTGGTGCATAATGACAGTAATAATATTTATTATTTTGTTAACTTAGACCATTTCCATATATATATACACAGCATCTTAAAAAGCAGAGACATCTCCTTGCTGACAAACATCCGTATAGTTAAAGCTATGGTTTTCCCAGTAGTGATGTATGGAAAGTGAGAGTTGGACCATAAAGAAGACTGATTGCCGAAGAATGGATGCTTTTGAATTCTGGTGCTGGAGGAGACTCTTGAGAGTCCCATGGGCTGCAAGAAGATCAAACCTCTCCATTCTTAAGGAAATCAGCCTTGAAGGCTCACTGGAAGGACAGATCCTGAAGCTGAGGCTCCAGTACTTTGGCCACCTCATGAGAAGAGAAGACTCCCCGGAAAAGACCCTGATGTTGGGAAAGATGGAGGGCACAAGGAGAAGGGGAGGACAGAGGACGAGATGGTTGGACAGTGTTCTCGAAGCTACAAGCATGAGTTTGACCAAACTGCGGGAGGCAGTGGAAGACAGGAGTGCCTGGCGTGCTCTGGTCCATGGGGTCACAAAGGGTCAGACACGACTAAACGACTAAATAACAACAAATACCATCTAAGATGTGCACAGCAAGCTAAAACATACAAAATAAATGCATTAATACAAATGTCTGCATAAATATATACCAGTCACCACCCATCCAATGATTTCAAGCCTGCTGGTCAGTAGTGTTCCAGGGCATCGTGCAAGACCCTGCGTGGTGCTTTGAAGTCCCAGCATCATGTGATTTCATTGTGAGGTGAGCCGATTGACAGGTGTCCAGCCATGTCCACCTGTCAAATTTGCCCCCCCCCCGAAGGGTAGGAGAGATTATGATCTGGTTCCCCAGCCAGATCAGGTGCCCCACCCCTGAAATTGAGGGTTTCTTCAGAGTAGGACAAAGAAACCACACTAACAACCAGCAATCTAAGCAGCCTAATACCAAGTCAGGATATTTATTAATATATCCCTTCAGTGGCTACACTGACTGGTGCACTCTCCTGAAGTCTTTCCTCTCATCTACTACCTGGGCCATTTTGGGGGGTTAGAAATCCAGGGTAGGGTCACTCAGTCTGTGATGTCAGTAATGTTGATCAAAGAAACACAGGCGATACATTAGGGAAGGTCCATTTTGTGGTGAGCTCCTCCACAGAATATTTCCACTCCTCAATGATCGGTCAGGAAAGGCATACTTACCTTGAGCTAGCGATTATTTACGGTTCATGGCTGACACGCCCTCGCAAATTTCTAAGATGCTTTTCTCTCCTGTGCCCTCCTTTATTGCCATTTGGTTAAAAGGTCAAATATTTTCAAAGCTGCTTTAAAAAAACCACACCATTTGGGTTAATGGCAGGTCATTCTAAGGCATGGTTCCTAAGCCTGATTGTATTATTTTTCCCCTCCTACATTCTCTTTCTTACTATGGGATGGAATCTGCATTCCTGTCTTGCTGTGGCACACCTGGATCTGGACTGCAAATGCTGATTTATGGGAAGAGAAGCAAGGATTGTGTTATTCACATTCCCTGCCCTCTGTCTCTGGGTTGCTATGACCTTTCCCATCTGCATGTTCTCCTCCAAGTTAGTGGTGTTTCAGAAAGGTCAGGCAGCTGTAATTTGCCCTAACTTCTTTTTCCAGTTCAGTTCCATCACCTTTTTTCCCCGCTCACCCGCCTCTTCACCTCCCAACTCTGTTTCGAATCGGGAAAAGCTTAATTCCCTTTGTTGTGAAAGCCTGTGTTATGGAACACAGAGGAAATGTATGAATATGAGCGTGGCAGAGAGAGACACTGGGTTCTAGATCATTGTTTGGGGTGAGGGTAGGGTGTCCAGAAAGACTGACAAGCCACTCCTGGAAAATAATGGAAACCTAGACAATCTTTAAAACCTCTTTGCACTGAGGGCATCTATTAAATCTCTTCATATCCATGGCTTTCTGTTGAGCATAGATATCCTTTCCAGCTTCCACAGTGACCAGCCAGATGCCTTCAGGAAGTCCACAAGTAAGGCATGAGGAGAAATAGCCTTCTTGCTGTTGTATACAAATTGTAATAGTTATTATTATTATTATTATTATTATTATTAGTCTTATTAGTCTTCTTCTTCTTCTTCTTCTTCTTCTTCTTCTTCTTCTTATTATTATTATTATTATTATTATTATTATTATTATATGAATGCAGGCCCTCTTAGAAGTTCATAGAGACCCAAGGCCCCTTCCAGCTTATGAGACCCCTAGCTATAATAACATTTTTTTAAAAAGATGACACACTGAATTTTGTGTCTAATCTTCTGCCATCAGGGTTGATATATTTGTATATATCATAAACATTTTGAAAACCCTTTAATAGAGGGGTCAGCAACCTTTTTCAGCCGTGGGCTGGTCCACTGTCCCTCAGATCGTGTGGTGGGCCGGACTATATTTTGAAGGAAAAAAATGAACGAATTCCTATGCCCCACAAAAAACCCATAGATGCAGTTTAAATAAAAGCACACATTCTACTCATGTAAAAACACCAGGCAGGCCCCACAAATAACCCAGAGATGCATTTTAAATAAAAGGACACATTCTAGCCGTGTAAAAACATGCGGATTCCTGGACCATCTGCGGGCCAGATTGAGAAGGCGATTGGGCCGCATCCAGCCCCTGGGCCTTAGGTTGCCTACCCCTGGTTTAATATGACCAAATTTGTATCAGCTAACAAAAAAAAAAAGCTATGACTTTTACCAAATCGTATCCTCTTTATTTGCTTAAACTTGCAGCACGAAGCTGAGAGCTCATGTCACATTTGGGTCTCCTGTGCCTATAAATAAGCTGAGAAACGTATTAAATGCCAACAAATCAGCAATTGTCTAAAATTCTGCACACCCACCCACCCACGCTGGGCCCAATGGCCCTCTTGCACACACACCCCCTCCAGCCCTGCATCACAAATGTGTCTAATGCCCTTTTAAAGCTGTCTGCTGGGGGATATGTCAACATGAGGCAAAAGCAAGACTGAGCTCACACAGACAGTATCTTCGTTTCTTACTGACGCTGCTGGACTTTTAAACAAAACAGAAATCCAGATACTGCAGTCCCTTAGCAAATCTGGGAAAAGAGGGGGAAAAAGGGGGGAGGGAAAGGACAGATGGTAAATTAGTCGCAAGTTGATATTACAAGTGTTTCTATTTTGGATCTTCTCTTAATGTTCAAAATACCACAAGCATGACAAGCATAGGAATGTTTTCCTCTATATAAAAAAAGTTTTTAGCAGAGAAAATGCAGACACAAGTGCACATACCACTACAGTGGTGCCTCGCAAGACGAAATTAATCCGTTCCGCAAGTCTCTTCGTCTTGCGGTTTTTTCGTCTTGCGAAGCACGGCTATTAACGGCTTAGCGGCTATTAACGGCTTAGCGGCTTTAAGAAAAAGGAAACAAACTCGCAAGAACTCGCAAGACGTTTCGTCTTGCGAAGCAAGCCCATAGGGAAATTCGTCTTGCGAAGCACCTCAAAAAATGGAACACTCTTTCGTCTAGCGAGTTTTTCGTCTTGCGGGGCACCACTGCATTTCATCTCTGCACCACCCACCACCTTTCCCCCCCCAAATGAATTAATATATTGGGGGGGGGCACCCAAAGTTGTTGAGCTTTTTTTTTAGGAAATCAAAGTTGGGGGCAGAAAGAATTGAGTACTTTCAATGCTTTTCACTTTTCATATTTGTGGATCTGTGCTATGCCCTTAGTACTGTATTGGGCTTTGGTACAATAGGAACATCAGAATAAAAATAATAAGAAGAATGATAAACCCCTATTTCAGTGTCACACTTTAAAAATTTTTTTAAGTACAAATTAGGAAAAATATACAAATATACAAAAAAAGAAAATACACAAGAGAAAATACATATAAGCAAGAAAATAATTAGAAAATATTTTGTCTCTTTTCATATTTAGTTATTTATATTTATACCTCTATAAAATACTATTCAAAATAAAGAGGAGAAATGAAAGATAATGAAAGATATAAGAAAAAAAGAATAAAGAGAAAATAAAGAAGTAGGAGAAAAAGATCAAAAGTGAAAATTTTAAAAGTAGACAAGCTTTCACACATTTTATTGTCAGTGATATTGGGCACCATGGGGAAAGGCAGAGTTAAACCCTCATTGTGTTTATACAGTAAAAATGGGTCACAAATTCGGAATAACTTTGCCACTTTCTTGCGGAAGGGCTTCTCGTTATCCTTATTTTTAGCTCATCCCCAGTGCTAGCTAATTTGACAGTTTTGGGAAAAAAACCGGCATCTATTTAAATGCAATTAAGATGCATTGCATTGTTCCTTGGACAGAGAGGGAAGACCCGCTTAGCGGAGCGGCAGTCTGATTCTGCGCGACTCCCGTCGGGAGCGACGGCTCTCGTTCCGACGGGGGAGGCCGGCGGGCAGAAGGCGAGAAGCCGATTGGTTCAGAGCGCGCTCCCCTTCGTCCCCTGAGCCAATCAGCCGGCGCGTTCCCGAAAAGCCGCGGCGCCCTCTGGCAGAAGGCTTCGGGTTGCCCATGGTAACCTCCAATCCGGTCTGGAAAGCGGGATGAAACGAAAGTGGTCATTGGCTCCCGCCGGGCGGGGTTGACTACAATCTTCTCTGGGATTGGTTAAGGTGGTTGAGGCGAGGATTGAAAACTTCCACGGAGGGGCCTTCGCCGCCTGTGCGGGACTTGCCCGCAGGTAGGGCGAGGGGCAGGCGCCGCTTTGGGCTCCGCTCTGTGAGGGGGAGACCCCTGGGTCTGTTGCAGCGGCAAAGCTTTGGTTTCCAAAGGGCTTCAATCTCGCGCTTCCTCTCACACAACAGCCCCGCGAGGTTGGGCTCACCTTGTTGTGCCAGGCAGAGATTCAACAGGTGAAGCTTTATGGTATCTCCCTGTTGGGAGAAGCTGCATCTATCTAACACGCCCCCCCCCCCGCTTTCCTCTTTCACACAACTGTTAAAAGCATAGAAGCGCTTAATAGGTATTTATTTTACTCTCTTCTCCCCCTCTCTCCTCCCTCCCCATCACTTCTTGGCCTGACCTACTTTGCAGGGTTGTTGTGAGGCCTGTTAAAGCTGGGGGGGGGTGTAGTATGTTAATATTATTTTATTAACTTATTTTATTATTATTTATTATCAGTATTTATTATTTTATTAACTGCTGAAATAATTATTTTATTAATTCTATTATTGTTTATTTTATCATTTTTTATTAACTGCTAAAATGATTTTTGGTATTTTATTATTAGTTATTTCATCATTTATTTTATTAACTGCTAAAATGATTGTTTTATTAATTTTTATTTTAGAATTATTTATTTTATCATTATTTATTAACTGCTAAAATGATTATCTTATTGTTATTTATTTTAACATTTATTTTATTAACTGCTAATTGATTATTTTATTACTGTTTATTTTATCATTTATTATTTTATTATCTGCTGAAATGATTATTTTATTAATAACTGTTCCGTCGTATCGTTATGCTTTTTTATTATTATTACAGTGGAACCTTGGTTTTCGAACATCTCTGTTGACGAATATTTCGGAACTCGGAATGCCGAAAACCCGGAAGTAACTGCTTCCGTTTTCGAACGCACCTCAGAAGTCGAACTCCCAAGGCAGCTTCCGTATTGAGTTTTTCGTATTAATTTTTCCATTTTGAGGCTTCCGTATTGCGTTTTCAGTTTTCAAACGTTTCGGAAATTGGACAGTCTTCTGGAACGGATTACGTTCATAAGCCAAAGCATGTTCTTAATGTTGTCCACCGACCTGGGATCTTCTGATAAAAGGCGGTAAATGAATGGAATAAATAAAAATATAACTCAAACAAGGGTATGCGAACTATTGTGTTCTGCCCTGAGCTTGGAGATCCTTGGTGGGGTACTTCGTTTATATTTTACCCTGCACTTCCACTTCCCTGGAAGCCCCCAGAATAGCTTATGGATCAAGACAGTCCCTGCCCTCAGGCTCAGATGTTCTGCTGGTCCCGAGGGTTAACCGTGCGGCGAGGTCCGAGTCCAGTCTGAGTTCGAGGGTGCGGTATGGAGGCTGTCCGTCAAAGCTGTAGCTGGGTCCAAGGCAGGGAGTCGGGTGAGGTCAGGAGCTCCGGCAGAAGAGCAGGACAGGGTGCAGGCAGGAACAGGCTACCAACAATGTTGCTCCCGCAACCTGGGACTGGGCTGGCTGGCTTTTATCTGCCCCGAGGCATAGGGCAGCCCCGGTCCACAGGTGACTCGCCTCTCCTGGCCTGGAGGCGAGCACTCCTCCTGCGGGAACTTAGTTCCCTGCCTCTCTGCCCTGAGCCTCTGCAGCTCAGGAGAGGCTGGAGGGTTACCGGACCCAGAGGCAACCTCAGCTTCCCCTGACGGGGCTGAGAGTGGAGCACCTGCAGGCAATGGGTCCTCCATCATCTCAAGAGCCAGAGCAGACTCAGCTGATGCCTGCACCTGAGGGTGCAGCACAGGTGAGGACCCTTCAGGCTCAAGCCCCAGCCCTGGCTCAGCTGGTTCTGGAGGCGGGGACTCATGTGCAGGCTGGGATTTCTCAGGTTCAGCCTCTGAGTCCGAATCCCAGGCCGTCACAGATGTGTTGAAAAAGGAAAAGTTCATGCTCTTGGTTACAAGTTCTTGTAGTGATCAGGTGGGATGGAAACATAACACAGCAAAAGGGAGAAAGCTTAATCTGTTGCATTTCTGCTCCTAGTTTGTGATGCTGCTTTGAAAGGCGCAAGAGGCCCCACCAGAAGGAGGAAAAAGCAGTGTTTACTCACTGTGAAGTAAGTCTGTAATATTTCTATTTTGCAAGTTGGGAACTGAGAACCTAAGATCAGACCTTCATCTCATCCAGGATCCTGTTTCATACAGTGGCCAACCACAAGTTGGGCCTAAAGACAACGTGATGTTTTCATCCATGAGTTCTCTTAAGGGAGTTTCACATTTTATGGGGCAGCAATCATGTTTGACTGTGGCCAGTGACCTACATTTTTGGTTCAATATCCATTATTTTTGTTCATTTTTTAAACCCATGTCTAGGGTTGCCATATGTTCCTCCTTTTAAAATTCTGTCCCTTCTGCTAGACATTTTTACAAGCTTCCAGATGGGCAGTAAAGACTTCTTTCTTTCAGTTTGCTTTTTTTCCTAAACAAGCCCTGGGTTCCTGTTGATCTTTTTACCAGTACAGTGGTACCTCGGGTTACAGACGCTTCAGGTTACAGACTCCACTAACCCAGAAATAGTACCTCGGGTTAAGAACTTTGCTTCAGGATGAGAACAGAAATCTCGTGGCGGCAGTGCAGCGGCAGTGGGAGGCCCCATTAGCTAAAGTGGTGCTTCAGGTTAAGAACAGTTTCAGGTTAAGAACGGAGCTCCGGAACGAATTAAATACTTAACCCGAGGTACCACTGTAATTGAATGGCCGTACTGGTATCTGAATGGCATGTTCATGGCTTTCCTTAATTGGTTTTAAATTACATTATGCTGGGTGATACTGTTTTTATGGTTATTTATGGTTCATGTTGTTTTTAAAATAGAATTTTACATATAATATATTCAAAAATCATACAATTCAAAGAAATTCAAAATGTACAGTACTTGGGCACACTGCATTGATACAACAGTAGTATTATCTTGTTGCATGTAGTTGTAATGATACACCATCCTTATAATTTTTTTTCAGGGGACACTGATGGTTCTTAAGATAATTTTTGTAATTTTTTAATTTTGATTCATAGCGCGTATTTAAAAATCTATTTTGGGAACTGCCTTGCAATGTTATTTCCCCCTAAAAGATGGCTTCTAAATATTGTAAATTAGCAACCTTGTACACGGTGTTGTTCAAGAATTCTAAGAAACCAAAGAAACAGTTTTTAAAGGTTCTCTCTGCCATCTTGATTCAAAAAGCCACCCAACGGTATGAAAATTTATATGAAAATTTACCCCCTGATCTCAAGAGCCGTCAAGCAATATTGGGTTGCAATATCTTAAGAGGTCAGGGTGGATAAAAATCAATGATTTAAAAAAATAATAATCAAAAAATGTTTTTTTTTATTTAAATCGGATTTTTTAAATTTAAATCGGGTTTTTAAAATAAAATGCTTTTGGAGGAAAAATCTTTCTAAACATAGTTTTCTATTTAAGTTACATTATAGTCCAAAGGCTATTCATCAGGAAATAAGGATTTGTTTTAAGCTTTTTATGTGTGCTAAAACTTAATCTGTTGCTGTTTTTTAAAATCATTTAACCACATCAATTAGCAAACATGAATACATATGCTATAATGTTACTGTTTTAGTTAAGTAAATTGTTATTAAGGAAATGATTATTTTTCTCCTTCCAATAAAGTACATACAGCAGAAAAGTTGTCCAAATATAAACAATAATTTCATAATTATCTATGTATTTCTAATAGTATAACCAAATCAGTAATTTTTGATATAACTATATAACTGTAAAAACTACTCTGAAAATTTATTATTCCAAAAATGAAACCTTCATATGGCTGTAAATATTAAGATTATACCAGCAAGAATGAGTCTTTCTGTAAAAAAAAGATTTAAATCAAGTCTTACTGACTAGTGATTTAAATCAAGTCTGACTAGTGATCTAAATCAATTTGATTTAAACGAAATCCACCCTGTAAGAGGTGTTGAAATGCACAGCTTCCACAGATACCAAACCCCCAGGAAGGAATGGGAAAGGTGGTGCTATGCTAACAAAAAGTTCTATGCTAACAAAAAGGTGGTGCTATGCTAACAGAAAGTTCAGCAATGCTTCTTTCTTTGCAGGATGCCTGGCACAATTCTTGGAGTTGGGCCAGGAGTATTTATCTTAGCGCTGCTCTGGGTACTGACCTTGCTGCTCTGCGTGTTGTTATCCAGAGCTTCTGGACCCGCTAGGTAAGGTGCCATCTCCTGCTGGGAAAGTAATTGGAGAGGAAACTGCTAACCACATGGATTTCAGGCAAATATTTCAGCCATTCCTCCTCAGAAGAAGGTTGGGTTCCATCATTTAATTAATTACACGTTACTTCCCCACCTTTCACTCCAGGGAGCTCAGGGTGTGGTGATTTTTAGTGCTTTGTCACAAGAGACCCTTGATTGATTTTTGGAGGGGACAGAAAAGATATCGGAGGTGCTAACCAGCCTATTACTGATCTATTCTGAATTATTATTTTTCTGCATGTGTTTTTTTAGAGTGAAGCAACTATGTTTAGAGGGGAGGAGAATACTGCAGATTAATGGGGTTTTTTAAATAAAAAAAACCCGGGGCAGCAATGTTTAGGCGATGTTTTTAAAAATAAAAATTGATCAACTGAAAAGGTGCACCAATTCGTCACCACTAATCTTTTAAAAATACAGGTGCTAATGGAAACTGCAGATAGCAAGTACCAGCTTAGAAGAAACTTTCCTTATCTTTCTCGCAGAGGAGTGAATGCCTTTTCTAGGGTGATGCCTGCTATGATATCATGTAAGACAGGAGCATCCTTTTTTCCTTCAGAACTCTTGTTTTTCTGAAGTTGCAAGTTTTATTTAATCAATTAATCCGCTGAAACTTGTATAATTAACCAGCCAAGATTTATTTAATTGGAGAGCAGCCTTTAAAAAACAAAACCCCAAGTATTCAAAATGTGGATTGTGAAATTATTTGAAAAGTATAATAGACTCATTAAATCCCCTGCCACCACCAAAACAAAATGAAAGACTTCTCCGTGTTCTATCCAATTATTCTCAGGAAAGACTTGGGATATTTAATATCTTCCTTTTTACTGCATAATGTTTCATTTGTAAAATCAAATATTCATAGCATTTTTAATGAGGAAGGGTTACCTGATCATTTTGCTTGTGTATTTTGCTTTCTTTTCTTACTTACAATTTAATAAATTAGTGAGTCTTTGCTTGTCTAATTCATCTCCAGCTATTGCCTAGGTACCCAAATTTTGGTATGGCTAGGGTGTCTATTTCTTCAGCAGCTGGGAAGACCCAATATCAGGGAGGGAACCATCTTGTATCCTATGGCCCCCCTCACAGAAGCCATATGATTGTCACCTTATGTCTCTGCCCACCCCTCTTTAAAAAAAATGTAGACAACATTTTATGATTTTATCTTTGCAGTGGACATTATTGTCAATTTTTTTGGTGTTGCTCTTATTTGGCAAAGTCTATAAGTAATAAACAGTGTCAAATGAAAATTGGCAGCCACATATCCTCTACTTAATCTAATAAGTGCATCTTTTAGCTTCTGAAGACATGGTGTATATTGGCAGTTATTGCACAGCCTTTTTCTATCTATTAAATAAAAAAGGAAAGGAAGCTGGCATCAAAAGGATGTGGGTTGCAGAATACATTTTTTCCAGAACTGGCCATATCCTTCTGAGGATCCTTCCTGTAGTGTAGTGAGGTGGAATCCAGTCCTGGTAAATTCATAGTGTACTTTTCACTGGCGTCATTGCATTGATTCTTGAAAATTGCACCCTAAAGTTACAGTCATTAAACACTTTGGGCTGTATCCAATGTAGCACTAAGTTGCTCATTCCATTAGCAAAGATTTACACTTGTGCAGAATGGGACTTTCTGCCCGCCCCAACCCAAAATCTGTTATTGGGGTTCCCTCAATCCTCTAGACAGATTTGGAGAGGGAAGGGGGGTGGAGTTCTGTTGTGCAAACATAAATCCTTGCACTAATGAAATGGGTGCATTGAATGCCACTCTTTGCTACATATTCACCCATTTGGGGCTGCTCTGGGAGGTTCTATTGCCCCACTGTGATGCAAGGAGGAGCTGAGGCGCTTGCAAACAGCAGAATGTGCTAGCATACTGGAAGCCAAATCCTGTGCAGGTCTTCACACCTGGATGCCTGGCATAGTTTGTTATATTTCCTGAGTCAGTGGGAGAGAAGGCAGCCATAGCTCCCTTCTACCATCTAGATTCCTGGGTGTAGTGGTTAAGAGCGGTAGTCTGCTAATCTGGGGAACCGGGTTCGCGTCTCCGCTCCTCCACTTGCAGCTGCTGGGTGACCTTGGGCCAGTCACACTTCCTTGAATTCTCTCAGCCCCACTCACCTCACAGAGTGTTTGTTGTGGGGGAGGAAGGGAAAGGAGAATGTTAGCCGCTTTGAGACTCCTTAAAGGGAGTGAAAGGCGGGATATCAAATCCAAACTCTTCTTCTTGCTTGCTGGTAGCAGACAAGGGAATGAGCAGATTCTATGACCAGGAAGGTAAAGGGTGGGAACTACCCTGGTTGCTTTCTGCTCTGCCCTATTGGGGCATTTAAAGGAGTGTGTGCCTGGGTAGTGACATGGAACAACTCTATGCAGGTTTATTTAAATCTTCTAAGAAAGTGTGGGCTAGGATTAGCAGTGATTCCTGTGGTTTCTCCCTCTCTCTCTCTCTCCAGGTTCTCTGTCATTGTGGTTTTCTTAGCTGCTGTGATCATCACGTTGGTTCTGTTGCTTTTCCCTCGTGCCAGCGAGTTGCCTGCACCGGCTGCAGAAATTAAGGTAAAGCTATTGAGAAGCTCGCCCTCCACAAATCTGTAGCATTTCATACTAACAGTTTCAAATACGTGCTGTTTATAAGCCAACACAGATTTCAAGACGGCCAGGTTCTAGCACCAAGTATAGTCCCAGTGAATTTGCATCAGTACAAGCGGTTGGCTAATTGAACATTTCCCAAGGGAAAGCAAATGCCACCAGGTCGAGTGAGTCATCGTTGGGAAAGGGAGAAGAAAAGTTAGCATGCTTCCATGAAAGGGCTGCTAGATGACTAAGGCCACGATTGGTATTTGGGAGTCAGGTGTTCAGGCTGAGAGCACACACCTACTTAGTTATTTGACATATTAATCTCATGCTACCTAGAAGGTCTCCAGTCAGCTTACATTTAAATACATAAACATAAATGCATTATACCATAGCTGTTGGGGGGGGGAATAATATAAAACATTAAATGTTTTCATTAATTAATCAAAAACAGCCCCACCACTCCATGACCCATAGGAAGGCGGGGAATGGGAAGCCTTTCACTAGTACTGAAAGGATGTAAGGGAAGGTGCTAGATGGAACTCGTTGGGGAGAACATTCCACAGATGAGGAGCCACGACTGAAAAGACTCCCTTCTCATCACGCTCTGAATCATCCCTCAGAAAAGGGACCGGAGGGCCTCAGATGTTGTGTCTTTAGGTACCTTGAACGCCAGTGGACTGAAGGCAAGCTTAGAGGTCAGGTGGGAGCCAGTAAGTTTGGAAGTGAAGAGAACCAGCTGACATGCCCTGGTAGCTAATTGTCCAGACTGAGCAAAGTCAGCAGGATTCATTCATTCACTCATTCAATTTATAGCCCTGCTTTTTGAGGAACTTTCTTCCCAGAGCAGCTTACAGTCTAGTATAAACCAACTCCACCCGACAAACAATAAACCCACCGTCAAAAAAAGTGAAATACTGAAATGGAAGACAATACAGATGGGGCCTGTGAAAACAGTTTTCTTGTCAACCATTAAAAACAAAAGAAAGTATTGAGGGTGGGGTGGTGGTGGTTAGTGTTTAATTACATCTCTCAAACAGCCTGATTTAGCAGCAGGTTCTCTGTCCCTTTGACCCTTCCCATTCCCAAAGCCAACAAACAAACAAACAAAACCCCTTTCATTTGAAAAGTGGCTGTGTGTGTGTGTAACTTGAGTATTCTCACTAGCTGAAATGGGGCCTTCCTCTTCAAGACAAGGAAGGTTTCAATTTGAGTGCCGTGCTTTCAAATACAGGCCTTTTTGAAGGCCTTTGTATCGCCTGGGCGTTACCTGACTCCCCAGGCCAGGAGAATACTGTATTGGAAACAAAATGTCATATAGCCATACTGATACATTAATACAAATCATCATGAAAGCACAATGAAGAGGACTTCTGGAGAGCCCCTTGATCTCTTCATTTGATTGATGGTACAGTGGTGCCTCGCAAGACGAAATTAATTCGTTCCGCAAGTCTCTTCGTCTTGCGGTTTTTTCGTCTTGCGATGCACGGTTTCCCATAGGAATGCATTGAAAATCAATTAATGTGTTCCTAGGGAAACCGCCTTCAGACCAGGTCCGGGGACAGACTGTCCCCGGACCTCTTCTGAAGGCTGGGGGGGGGACAAGGGCTTTTCTTCCCACCCCCAGCATTTTAAAAAACCCTGGGACAGCGGAGGACTTCTCCGCTGTCCGGGCGATCTTAAAATGCTGGCGGGCGGCATTTTAAAATCGCCCCGGGACAGCGGAGGACTTCTCCGCTGTCCGGGGCGATTTAAAAGCCCCTGGGAAGGCAGGCAGGGGGGACAAAGACTTTCGCCCCCCGCCCGCCTTCAGAAGGTGTTCCCGGCCCCCCCCCCCCCCGCCCGGCTTCGCAGCAGCGCTACGAAGCCCGGCGGCTGGGGCAGGTGTTCCCGGCCCCCCCCCCCGCTTCGGAGCAGCGTTACGAAGCGGGGTGGCTGGGGCAGGTGTTCCCGCCCCCCGCCCGGCTTCGCAGCAGCGCTACGAAGCCCGGCGGCTGGGGCAGGTGTTCCCGCCCCCCCACCCCGCTTCGGAGCAGCGTTCCGAAGCGGGGTGGCTGGGGCAGGTGTTCCCGCCCCCCGCCCGGCTTCGCAGCAGCGCTACGAAGCCCGGCGGCTGGGGCAGGTGTTCCCGCCCCCCCCCACCCCGCTTCGGAGCAGCGTTCCGAAGCGGGGTGGCTGGGGCAGGTGTTCCCGCCCCCCGCCCGGCTTCGCAGCAGCGCTACGAAGCCCGGCGGCTGGGGCAGGTGTTCCCGCCCCCCCACCCCGCTTCGGAGCAGCGTTCCGAAGCGGGGTGGCTGGGGCAGGTGTTCCCGCCCCCCGCCCGGCTTCGCAGCAGCGCTACGAAGCCCGGGGGCGGGGGCAGGTGTTCCCGCCCCCCCACCCCGCTTCGGAGCAGCGTTCCGAAGCGGGGTGGCTGGGGCAGGTGTTCCCGCCCCCCGCCCGGCTTCGCAGCAGCGCTACGAAGCCCGGCGGCTGGGGCAGGTGTTCCCGCCCCCCCACCCCGCTTCAGAGCAGCGTTCCGAAGCGGGGTGGCTGGGGCAGGTGTTCCCGCCCCCCGCCCGGCTTCGCAGCAGCGCTACGAAGCCCGGCGGCTGGGGCAGGTGTTCCCGCCCCCCCACCCCGCTTCGGAGCACCGGGAGAAGCGATCTCCCCGCCGCCCCTTGCTTCAAAAGAGAAGACCCGCTGTCCCCGGGGCAAGCTTCGTTTTGCGAAGCAAGCCCATAGGGAAATTCGTTTTGCGAGTTTTTCGTCTCGCGAGGCGTTCGTCTTGCGGGGTACCACTGTATTAGGTAGGTAGGAAGGGGAAAGAACAAAACCATTTCAGATGTTGGTTCATGCAGCCTCCAGCCCCCCCATCATGCAGGCAGGCTTATTTGCAGGCTTTGTCCATACATGAAAATTTGTGTCTGCCCCTGGTACATGCTGGCACAAGGAAGGTACGTCAGGTGCATATGGATCACGTGGTCATGGCCTTGGATGCCTCCTTAGAGATGGGTGCAGGAGTGCCCTTGATTCAGCAGTTCACTATGTTAAGGCCCTACATGCCAGAGAAATGTGAACCGGGCCTCTTCAGGGTTTGCGTCTCCCAAACAAGAAAGATGGCTTCCTATTGCAATCTCCCATTAGCTGGAGATTGAGGGAGGTTGCAGTGCCAATATAAGAGCCATAATTACCATTAGGTGTAATGGAGATAAATGAAGGACAATCAAAATGCATTCAACTAATGTTTCATAGAAAATATTGCAGTGTGGGTGCGCTTCATAATGTACCTCTAAAAGACAATGGTGTTATGTGTGATATAGTGATACACAGAAGGAAAAATCAATCTGTATAAAAAGCATTGCGGTTTGTTGCCTGAGATTAATCAATGGCTTAATTTACAATACTCATCAGAACATTTTGCCTCCACATTGCCACTGTTATCATTTACTTACATTTTCTTTTGTCCGTCTACACTCTGCTTCCTTTTACCCAGTTGAAAGAGTAAGATCTCTAGATAGTGGAAGGGGTTATAGTTCAGGTGAAGAGCATGTCCTTTGCATGCAGAAGGTCCCTGGTTCAATTGCTGGTATCTCCAGCATAAGGAAGGAATGGTAGCTTAGTAGTAAAGCACATGCAGAAATGGGTTTTGGATCCTTATTCAAGCCAAGAACTACATTATCCCAATGGGAAGCTGTCAATGACACTTTCCAGAACTTGACAGGGCAAGAGCCAAGAGTTTGTACAATCCCACACCTTTAGTGCACGTAGAACCACAAAAAGCAAGGCCTAGGTGCTGGAATGAGGAAGAAAGAGCAGGAGAGCATTTCTTTGCTATGCGCTGAGAAAGGGATTCCATTTCTCAATGTGTAGCGTAGAAGCAAAGCAGTCCGCTTGCAAGGAAAGAGCGTGATTTCTTTCTCTTCATGCAGCATAGGAATGCTGCCATCTGCCCATGGAGAAAAGGAGTTCCTTCCTTGCTGTGAAGCACAAAAAGAAGAGAGCAGTTGGTGGGGAAGGTTTCATGGACCAGACCTAGGTTCAATCCATGGCATCTCTGGGTAAAAACAGTGCAGATGATGAGACTGACTCTGCTCAAGATCCTGGAGAGTACCAGTCAGAGGAGGGCAAATAGTCTGACCTGGTGTAAGGCAGCACCTTAAGTTTCTGCAATCCACTTGATGTCAGAGGACTCTTAATTCCAAAGTAGGGAGTGAGTTTTTTGTCTAGACAGTCCACTATTGAATCTTGGTTGGGGGCAAGTGGGATTTGACTGAAGCTAATTTTGTCTTCAGACATTGGAGTGGAGAATATATATTTTTTTTAAGAGTTTGAGCTAGGAAGATGACCCTTGAATGGAATGTTTGCATTATTTACCCAAGTCACCCTATTAGGTGCCTTATAGCAGCCTGAGGGGAAATGCTTTTACACTGAGGTCTGTTTGCAAAGTGAATCTGTTTCCACTCTGGGTCATTTGCAAGAGAAATAGGTTGCTTCACTAGAAGGTGTATAGAAGATGCCTGGCTTTGTTTTTTTTTTAAAAATAATTTATTCAAAGTTTTTTAAACATACAATAAAAAGAAAAAACAAAGAAAAAAGTACAAAAAGGAAACCAGAAACTATATATCATCAAAGTCAGATTCTTACTTTCCTCACTTTTTGGACTTCCTCACGTCTTTCGCTCCTGCTTTCCAATTTTGTAAAATTCTAAACAGCAAATTATCACCTTGTTTCAATTCCTTAATTGTGTTCTTCCAATATTATGTCTCTAAGCTTAGGTTTACATCCCAAAAACTTAAATATTTAATTTAGTCATAATATTAATCAAAAAACAAAATCACTTTTTTCTCAAATTCCATCCATTCTCAAATTCTTATCAACTAACTTACTGGTGCCACATTTTTTTACTCTTGCATCTTCTTAAGATTCATACAATTTACAATGTTTTTGTAAATAGTCCTTAAATTTCTTCCAGTCCTCTTCCATTGCTTCTTCTCCCAGGT